AACCCTCAGTTTATTTCCTGAGATTAAGAATTCCCCATATCAGTGAGATCATATGATACATGTCTTTCTCTGATTGACTTATTTCACTTAGCATAATTCCCTCTAGTTCCAACCATGTCATTGCAAATGGCAAGGTTTCAGTTTTTTTGATGGCTGCATAATATTCCAGTGTGTGTGTGTGTGTGTGTGTATGTGTGTGTGTGTGTGTGTGTATCACATCTTCTTTATCCAATCATCTGTTGATGGACATCTCCTCAAAAAGTTGAAAATACAGCTACCCTATGACCCAGCAATTGCACTACTGGGTATTTGCCCCAAAGATACAAATATAGTGATCTGAAGGGGTACATGCACCCCAATGTTTATAGCAGCAATATCCACAATAGCGAAACTATGGAAAGAGCCGAGATGGATTACTTTCTTACACCATACACAAAAATAAATTCAAAATGTATTAGAGTCCTAAATGTGAAACCCAAAACCATAAAAATCCTAGAAGAGAACACAGGGCAACAACTTCTTTGACATCAGCCATATCAAGAACTTTTTACTGGATAGGTCTCCTGAGGCAAGGGAAAGAAAATACAAAATAAACTATTCGGACTACAACAAAATAAAAAGCTTCTGCACAGAGAAGGAAACAATCAACAAAACAAACAGATAACCTATGGAATGGAGGAAGATAGTTTCAAGTGACATGTCTAATAAGGTGTTAATACCCCAAATATATAAAGAACATACAAGTCAACGCCAAAAAAACAAATAATGCAATTTAAAAATAAGCAGAAGACATGAACAGATATTTCTTCAAATAAGACACACAAATGGCCAACAGACACATGAAAAGATGTGCAACATCACTTATCATCAGGGAAATGCAAATCAAAATTACAGTGAAATATTACCTCGTACCTGTCAGAATGGCTAAAATCAGAAACACAAGAAACAAAAAGTGCTGGAGAGGATGAGAAAAAGGAACCCTCTTGCACCATTTGTGGGAATGCAAACTGGTACAGCCACTATGCAAAACAGTATGGAGGTTTCTCAGTGTGCTGTGTTTTCCTTGCACACATGCTTTAAACCCTACAGGTAGCAAGGAGCACTCCTTTCACCGCCTACCATTCCCACTTGTATTTCTACACTTATCCATCCCTGGGAAAATTAGACATAAAGAGTGTACATTACTATCTTTTATTAGTCTTTGTTGAAATAATTCTAAAAGGTTACCAATAGCCAAGAGACAAAATTATGTTTTTGTTGTCATTATTATCCCATTTGTAAGTTTTTATCTTGATAATGGTTCAACTCTTTCATCATTGCAAAATAAACTATTTTAGAATGAACTGCAATGATTTATTTCTAGGCAACACATATTTATTAAGGGCATATTATATCCAGATTTGTATTAGATGTTATGAAATTTAATAAAGCAATTAATAAAAAGTTCAAAATAATGAAGACAGTAAACAAAATTAACAGTCTGAATATAATTCTAAAGGTAAAGTTACATGATATATGCAAAATAGAGAGGTAAGTTTCTGTATACATATTAGGTAAAATTTCAATGTGCAACTTGGCATTAGATAGTGTAGCATTTCAACTGACAATGAAAAGATGAGAGACTTCTCTGTGTAGGAGAACAGGATGAACAGAGATTGTACAGGGGAGAGTAAAGAACGAGAGTGGTCTCCCTGAGAAGTATATCACGGAACAAGGGAACACAGGCCATTATAAACGAAGCAACAGGGAGGGAGAGTGGGCAGTGGCATGACACAGTGATGAACAGCCCCAGTTCTGTAGCCATGTAACTTGAGTTAAAGTCTTGGAGGCTGATGGACAAAAGACCATAAACTTCAGGCTTCTGAAAGATCATAAAGGATAAGATTTCACTTAATTTTCAAAGTAGATGTCTTGCTGGCTTTTAAAATGTTGGTTGCTACATTCACAAAAACAGTTGGTGTTAATTTAAAGGCATATGGCACAAACACATTTTCCCTACAAGTATGGCTTTTTTTTCCTCCCCAGTTATGATATTTTCTTTCCTGAAATTCAATTTTTAAAGATTTCACAGGAAGCACGTCTAAAATATAAATGATGGCTGTAGTAGAGGGGAAAAAAAAGCACCCATGTTTCACCATATTGATTTCTGAGCTCTACTATAAAGGAGATGAGTTCCAGTTGCATATGGTTTGTGTGTCCAAATATGGTAAGCCACAGGGTCAAGAAGCCTTGAGAAACCTGTCTAAGGAGTCAGTGGCTGCTTATGCAATGTTTCTTCAAGGAGTTCAGGAAGGCTGCCTGCCACCCAAATCAAATTCCTTGTCTATAGTCTGATTCCTGACATATTTACAAGGGAAGAAGATTTTCATTCTAAAAGAAAGAAAGAGAGAGAGAGAGAGAGAGAGAGAGAGAGAGAAAGAAAGAAAGAAAGAAAGAAAGAAAGAAAGAAAGAAAGAAAGAAAGAAAGAAAGAAAGAAAGAAAACAAAGAAAGAAATTCTAAATGAAGATGTTTTATGAACATGAGTTTAAGTTTACTTCAAGGTTTAAATGAATGAGGTTGATTTCAGTCATGCTAATAAGGAAAATCTGTGTCCTAAGATGGCTGACTAAGCCAGCGAGAGAGTCCCAGTCCTTGCCCTGGGGCTCTTCTGGGTTCTTCTCCCTGCCCTGCTTCATGCACGCACCAAAAGTGCCAAGTATGCAGAAGTAGAAGTGTATAAATTGCCCCCTTTGTGCTCCGGGCTCAGGCCTTTGGAGATCACTGTCTTCTGAGTCCACCAGCGTTAAATAAACCTCCTGTCCTCCAAGATCTCTGAGTGCCACTTGGTTCTTCCATCGGGCAATCCAGTCCAGGTTCCTCAACAGTGCCAGTAGAATACTCACTTTTGATCTAATGCGATAATTTGATCGCGTAATCCCAACTCTCTGCCCAAGGAAAGTTTGCATAGTATATCTCAGTGTGGAATAGCAATAAATATTCTGGGTCACTGATTTACTTATTTAAATAACTTACTGAAAAACATTAGCAAATGTAGCTTCAGTTTTCCCACCATCCATAACAATGTAATTCTGTATTAAGTAAAATTTACATTGCAACCTCAATACCTTCAAAGTTTAAAAAATAAAAACATTTAAATTCCAAAGATGATAGTCTCCAACCTTTAATAAAAATTTCTTTGCTATCAAGAACTTCATGCTGTTGTAGGAAGAGAAAATATCATATGAGAAGGAATCTAAAATGGATTTACTTTTAGATTCTGTGTCTATTGCTGCAAAAGGCAGTTACAGTGGGTGTCTAAAACAAAGGGCCTATTATATCCAGATTTGTATTAGATATTATGAAATTGAATAAAGCAATTAATGGTAGTAAGAGTTGGCATCTAAAACCATGAGGGTTTCAAACATATCCCATATGGAACTATCAGTAGACTCCTTTAGGCAAAAGAAACAAGGGGACAGTTCAACAGAAGCAGTGGAACAAAGATATGACAAGTTATTACAACTATAATATCTGAATAGCCATCAATTTGGCACCTGTTTATCATTACAAATCTGGTGTATAATTTATGAACAACACTTATAGTTTAAGTGAGATCCTGGTTTTAAAACTGTAGTAAATACACCCAGAAAAGAAATTACAGAAATGAGACAAACACGATCATGTGCTGCTGGTGGAGTATAAATTGGTCTAACCTCTCTAGAAAACAAGTTGGAAAACAAACATCAAATCCCTTTAAAACTTATTCATGACCTTTGGACACTTTTAGCAATGTATCTAAGGAATTTATCAAGAGATCTTTTAAAAAGATGGTATGGATGTTTTTTACAGTACTCTTGAGAGCAAAAATTAACTCTACAAGAGAATGATTACATAAATCATGCCATTTCCACATTACAAGTTATTGTGGAGCCAATAATCATGTTTTGAAAACTTTCAATTATTTTTAAAGTTTTATGATTTAATGTTAAATTTTTGAAAAATGAGTAAGAAAACAAATCAAATGATGGTCAATTCTTTACAGTTTCCCGTGCCAGACAACAATGGTTGCTATATTTATTGATGGATCAATCTTAATACAATACTGAAAAATATGTATTTCCTTTTGTTCTTTGGTACTTAAAAGTGTTTCACTTTTATTTTAATCATTTGGGCAGATGTTACTTGATTTTTGTGGGTGAGTTGACTTTTCCTGAATGACATGAGGATGTGTCAGTAAGTACAGAAGAACTAGCTTGTTTTGTTGTTATTCTACCTTGTTATCTCAGGGCAAGAATAAGACGTGAGGAGGTGACAGATGCTTTGAGGAGAGAAAAACTTTACGATTCATCTTATTCATCCATTCATTCATTCCACAAATAAGTATTAAACACCTCTCACCTGGCAATTACTGTAATGCAGGGGTGAAGGAGACAGGCATGGTCTCTGCCCTCATGAAACATAGAGTTTGGCTAAGAAGACATTTATTAAATATACACTCACAAGTGCATGAAGTATATTTATTAAATGTATATTTATTAAATATATAATCACAAAGCACACAGATCTTTATAGTGAAGTATAAAGTGTTTTGGGTAAATGTCAAGATCCAATCAGGAAAACAAAAACTACCTGAATTCTTTTTTTCTTTTTAATTGAAATAGAGTTGACACACAATGTTTCATCAGTTTCGGGTGTACAGCATTGTGATTCAACAACTCTGTCATGCTAGGCTCACCCCAAGTGTAGTAGCTACCATCGGTTACAATACAATACTATTATAATACCATGGACTATATTATAGTACCACGGACTATGCTGTGCATTTAGCCCCTTGCCTTATTCATTCCATAACTGGAAGCCTATACCTCCCACTCCCCTTCACCTGTTTTGCCCATTCCCCCCTTCCCCTTTGCCCACCATCAGCTGGTTCTCTGTATTTATGAGTCTGTTTCTGCTTTTTCTTTGTTTATTCATTTTTTTTATGTTCCACATAAAAATGATAGCATATGAAAAACCACCTGAATTTTTAAAACAGCAGGACTTTATTGAGGGGGAACGGTTACACAGGAGATGAAAAACTGAGAAGCCCAACAGGACAGCCACGCCATCCAGAGGCTAGCAACCATGGCCACCCACTAGTTCCCCCATCTCAGCCTGAAGGGACAAAAGGCAGAGGCAGCACGGTCAGAGCACAGGGGCCATGTCACCTTTCCGGAGCTGGAGTGCCATTAAGAAACGCAACTGCTGCCAATCAAGGCGCCGCCATCAAGGAGATGGAGCAGAGCATGTCTACCCACTTCCTCTCAGCCTTCAGTTTCTCTCTGCTGTCCTACACTGGCAATATACCAACTGGCAATGGAGTTCATTCGTTTGCAAAATAGAGCCAGACTAAGAAAGCAATTTGAGGACCAATTGACCCGGGACCTGCACAGGGAATATAAAACAGGAATTAAGAATATTGAACCTAACACTGGGAATATCAGTTTTGAACACTCCACTCACTCACTCCTCACCTCTACATCAGCCTGGCTGTGTAGCCACACAATCAGAAATGTTTGCTGGCTGTCTTAAAATACCCTTTCTTCTTTTTTACTCAGACATAAATCTGAGTAAAGAAAAAAAATGAGGTAGAAGAAGCTCTAAAAATGGTATAAGAAACCAAATGGAGGAAGGTTTTGTTTTTTTTTTTTAATGTAGCCCAGTATTCAGTATAGATACAAAAGAGAAACATAACAATTATTGAAGCACTGTAAAGAAAATAACCCACAGGATTTGGGTTTGAGTTATAACTTTTGCATTTAGAAGCTGTGAGGCCTTTGGCAATTTATTTAAGCACCTAATCTCAGTTTCCTCATCTATAAAATGAAATCACTGACACCTCCCTTGAGTTGTGCTGCGAGGATTTCCATACAGTGGAGACACCAAGGTGGCAAGGTGATTGGGGGTGGGGGAGTGAAGGCTGAAACTCCAGTTTGTATGAAAAACAGCAATTGCCCACTTTGGTACTGTCCCCAATTAGAGTTCATGTATGTCACTTTGGTATATAGTAGGTGCTCAGTAAACAGTTACTTTTCTTATGTTTATAAATCATTAAGTAAAACTTTGTCTGTAATTTATTCATTGGGAATTCAGGTAGATGTTGAAAGGAAAATTATTTGTTTTGTCATCCTAACCTTCATGTTCATCTATTTACTGACAATTAAAATAAACTAAAATGTAGGGGGGGAAAAAAATCCCTCTCTATTTTTTCTTTCTCCACAGTAATCCTATTTTGACTATTTGCTTCAGTTTGTCATGCCCTCCTCCTAGACAACTGCAATCATATCTTTGTTCACCATTGGATTCTCAGTGCCCAGGACAGGGCCTCCTAGGACCTGAAAGACCCTAAAATCATACTGAAATAAGGCTTCGCTTTAGTACTTGATTGCTTAACAGGTAATTCTGAAATAATTAACTTGTTAACAGCTACAGTTTAAAATTCAAAGATTGATTCCCAACATGTCTTTATAGATGAAATATTGACCCTACTGTTTCCATACTGGAGCAAATGCTTTATGCAAACAGAATGTTCATTGTGTGAGAAGTCAACTCTCAACTAAATTTCTCAGGTGACAGTTTAATTCTATTGAATGGGAGTTTACTACAAAATTTAAAAAGTTATCATTCCAGTAGGCAAATCTTAAAATAACGGTTAAAATTGAAGAAGAATTTCTTCTTGGTTGAGTTTCTTCTGTGTGAATCAGAAAGACCAAAGTTGTAAGACTAAATAAAACATTACATCTCTGCTGTAAAAAGAGTTACCATTTAGATGTGGTGTGCATGTGTGCTAAAACTTTGGATACATTAGCAGTCATCTGGGATATATACACAACAGAGTCGTAATATTAGCATAATAACTTTTTCTTTGACTTGCAGTTAGGGTATCAAGGGTCATTAGGTTTTGGAGGGCCACTTTTCGAATTTGTGGGTGACTTCATTTTGGGTTTGGTCAAAGGTGGCCACTGTATGCTTGGCTAAAGCCTCTACTTGTAATTTTACATCGATAGACAGTGACTCCCAGGACAAATATGGCTAAGGGATAAAACCATTAAGAAGCCTTCTTTGTGTGATGTCTAATCTTAACAATATCTTAATTACAAGGAATCACTGGCAAGTGGGAGATGATTTGTCCCAGGAGAAAAGGGCATCCCCAATTATCCAATCCAATTATAAGGAGGGTGGGGCCAACTATTATTTCCATAAGTCCATAGTTAACCCCATGGAGTAGGGTATGTTCTGGATTTTAAGGAGCAACTTTTTATTCCAGCCACATAGAATTGATCAAGGTGACAGCTGAGTTACACAATTGTTGGGGAGTCCATCTCATTGTCCAGCTGTTTAAAACTTTTTTTTTTTAAAGATTTTATTTACTTATTTGACAGAGAGATAGGTAACACAAGCAGGGGGACTGGGGGAGGGAGAAGCAGGCTTCCCATGGAACAGGAAGCCCGATGCGGGGCTCGATCCCAGGATCCTGGGATCATGACCTGAGCCAAAGGCAGACGCTTAACCGACTGAGCCACCCAGGTGCCCCTGTCCAGCTGTTTAAATAATCATGTCCATGGGGTTCCTTTTATTATCTCCACAGAGTAACAAGCAGGAAGATTATCTATATATGAGTTATTATGGCACTCTCTCTGAAGTTTACCTCAAGTTGTCTAGTTTAGACAAACATTTATGACAATTAATCAAAACTAGAATCTAACATTCATAAGAATACATTATTTGAAAAATAATTTTTCTTTCTAAATTTACCTTTATTTCCAGAGATAGCCAAATCAAGACTAATTTGTCTGTAAAACAAGTCCAGTTTTAACAAACTTGGCCTAATTATTTACATAAGGTCAGCAAGAATAGTGGTTGATCATAGAGATCCTTTAAAATCTGCTTTGCTCAGGCGCCTGGGTGGCTCAGTCGTTAAGCGTCTGCCTTTGGCTCAGGTCATGATCCCAGGGTCCTGGGATCAAGTCCCACGTCGGGCTCCCTGCTCAGTGGGAAGCCTGCTTTTCCCTCTCCCACTCCCCCTGCTTGTGTTCCCTCTCTCGCTGTCTCTCTGTCAAGTGAATAAATAAAATCTTTAAAAAAAAAAAAAAAAAGAAAATCTGCTTTGCTGGAAAATTTGTATTGATTGAACTTTCAATAGCCTCTCAAGGCCAGAGCCAAGCCAAATACTTGTCCTTAGACTTGTCTGCAATACCAGTAGATTTTGGTGTATTCCTCTTTTCCAGGTCCCCCAAATATCCTGGGGTTCCCGTGCCTGCCAGGAAGTGACATTCTTTACTCACCTGGTAAGGCTGCTAGGAACTCTGTAAGCAAGGTATCAGGCTAACATTTCCAAGATGTCAGGCTCTGTTGGCTCCATAAAGTCAACCTTAATTCCTTAAAGCTGTCTGGTGATAGCTGAGTCTATGCATGTGCCTCTCAAATAGGACCTTCCAGTCAAAGTAATATAACCAATGTTTCCAAATGGTGTCCTGTTACAAGGAGAATAAGTTCTCATCAAAATTATGCAAATAATTATAATTACCATGGAAAGAATACTTACTGAGAGTTTCTGAATTCTGGAGGGTTCAGGTAGGGAGAAAAGTTAGATGCTTCGATTTGTTTGCAAAGGAATATTTTATCATATTTGCATAAGTCACAGATAACTTAAAAGAAAACTTCCTTAACCTAAAAGAACATACATTAGAGAACCAGCAATGTTTCAAACAAGAGTCATAAAAACTATAATCATCTTTCTCAATTCATTTAGTCCCATGTTATTAATTTTTGTTCAGCTTGAATGCAGCTTTCCCATTAGTTCTGGAAATTTTTATCCAGTTCAGTTTTATGAGCTTAAAGATATCAAATACCTGTATTTGTCAATAAAAAGTCCTTTGCATGAATCTCCTTGAAGACAAAATTCATTTCGTAAGAGCATCAGAACAATAAGTATAAATGACATGACAAAAAACCTCGGAAGTGGACATGGTTAAAGATCTGATATGAGAGTTCATTTTAATCTAGCTGACAAGGAAATCCAGTTATTTCTACAATACATAACACTTCAATAATCAGAATATTAAGTGATGACCTTATATTAGGACATATTAAAACTTCAAAAATTTCATATATTTTCTTGAATAGTTATAGCATTTACCCATACAATATAACCCAAGGGATGTCATCACTGGTTTGACAGGGCTTTCCAAGTAACTTTACATACCAAATGAACAAGCCTAATTAGTCACAAAGACTTCATTTGCCATTTAAATTTCAGGAAATTTGTTTAAAAAGTCAGAAAGTTTTAAAGCACATGCCTCAATAGAATTACAGATCATTATAAATTTAATATTAGTATTTAACCAAGATGGCAATAAGGAATTCTACAGGAAGTTATATAGTTGTTAGTAAAACTTAGCTCCTTTAACACTGAGAAGTTTTAACTTTCTTAAGTAATCAAAGACCTGATAAAAACAAAATACAGAAGCTTTGGTTTTCTGGGCAGAAAGAAAAGAGAAAAAAAAAAACAAACTTTGTTTACATTTTCTTATGAAGAGCAGACCAATAATCCAAGAAAAACTTTTGTCTTTTTAACAGAGAAAAGCAGAATCTCAATCTTATACTAGTGTACTTTTAAAATCCATTCATTTCAACCTTAGTCCTGACCACACATAAAATTCTTTTCTAAAGCTTTCCTTCACAAACTTTCTACAACTTTCTTTCGCATTCAGATTTTGTCCTAAGCCCTTTCTTTCCAAACAACCAGTCTCATTCTAGGACAAAACTACTTTCTTTTTCCTTCAACAAAATATACTGTAATTTCTTATATCTTTCTTATATATCTCCTACTGTCCTACATACAGAGTGCCTTCCTTATTTCCATCAGTCTTAATTACATTTACCAGAATTTTAACTCTTAGAATCCTTAGTCTCCAGTGAAAATTAAGTAGTAACCAATTGTGAGCTGTCAATTATGCCAGAATTCTTTAGATTGGCAAATTTATAAATACATTTAATAATTTCTAAAAACATGTTTTTCCATAGTATAATCTTTTAATAAAGCATAAAGCATGTTTACCAACAGACCCAAGTATTCTCAGTTTCTCTACAGTAAGAAGCCAAAAACAGATAAACCTTACGCTCAATAATCAATGTTTCAGTATCTTATCTCATTTGGAGGAGTGAGACAGCCAGTGAACTCAATCCAACCCATCATCCAAGGAAAACCGCCAAGCTCCAGGCCACTGAAGAGTCTGAAAGCTATTTTAACAATTACCTGTGAAAACTTTGAGACAGACAAAATTAACCATCATTTTATGTCATATTTTGTTGATAAATTGCAAGAGATAACACAAGCCTATTTGACCTTTACTAAACCTTGATAAAAGTTTTATACTTAATGTTGACAACTCCAAAGATATATCAATCTTAATGAAACCAACAAACTCAAATCAGCTTTAATATAGAATATGTTGCACCTGTATCTGCCAAAATTCAATTAATTTATTGCCCACTGTCAATTTTTACTTGGGGCATTGACGGAGAAATCTGCAGTGGTCCGTTTAAGTCTAAGGAGGGGTGCTTTTCACTCCTTGATAGTGAGGGTAGGAAGAGTAGGAGCTGATGGTCTGGAGGCACTGAGATGGTATAGGAGCGGTTATACAGGCCATACCGGTGTTGGTGCAGAAAAGGAGGAGGAACCCGAGGCAGAAAAGGTGAGGCGCGGCCAGCAAGGCTGCAAGTGGATGGAAGGCCACAGGGCGGATAAAGAGGACTCATCATCCCAAAGCTCATCAGCTCAGACAGATGGAACAGAGAGTTTGTTTTTTTCTCACCAACAAAAAGTGAAAACAGGCATTCCATGTCCGACCAGAAGAGACAGGGAACTTCCCTGAAACCAAAGGCGTTTCAACAGCTGCTTGGGCCTATTCCTTAAGGTCCCTGTCCTGAGGTAGCCTGACCACAGACAACTGACTCCAATTATCATAGCCATTAACCTGGGAAATGAATGCGGGAGAAGCCCCCACCATACAACAAGAGTTACCTGGGTCTATTAGGAGGAGGAACAGTGAGAGAGTCAGCATCCCCTTTATGAGGGAAGGCCTGTGATTCCTTTGGCAACCTGGGTCTATTAGGAGGAGGAGGAGGTCTTTTTAGATAACCATCATCCAATGTTGGAAGGGGGGTTTAGTAGCTTGGTTAGCGGCCAAACACATTCTGTAAGAGGCCCATAGGTCGGGATCCTGACTTGGGGTCATGAATGCCTGCATACAGAGGACCTCAGCCCATTTGTCCTGTTTCCTGTAGAAGAAATCTAACTGAGAGATCATACTGAAGCTAAATGGGCCATTGTTCCTTGTCTCCTAAGGAGTATTGAGGTCATACAGTGCCACAGAAGAGGAGTCCTATTTTTCCTTAAATCTAGCAATCTGAATTGTTTCCAGTGGGTTAAAAGGCATCCCAAGAGAGAGTCCTTGGGGACTGAGAAGGTGTATTACCAAGAAAATCTCCCGTCCCCAATTCCCAGGTGGCATCCCACACAAGATGTGTCAGAGGTTCCCAGTGTCAAAGGGAGCAGAGGCATCCCTTGGATGAAAATCGCTATGAACAAACCTTGCCCTGTGGGAGGGTTTGTTGGGATGCTGGCATCCTTCCACTTCCCCATTGCACTCTCGACTACAAATGGTGCCAATGAATGGGTTGAAATACTGTGCCATGTTGAGAAAAACCTGTTTTTAACCCATGGAAAACACTAGAAAAGTTTTATAAGAGGAAATTACCCAATGTTGTAATTCAAGTAGTCAGTAGGGGACACTGATGAAAATAGAAATCCACCATGGTCTAAGCGACATTCCAACACAAGTAGTCTTTACAGCCAGCTTCCCTAGGAAACAGTCCCCGGTTGGGTTTTAATTCAGTCGGGTACCGGTTTGGCTGGCTCTAGGTGGAGGTCTCTTGGCCAGAGGTGGCTAGACCGGGGATGTGGAGGATATCACATTAGACCAATGAGGAGGAAACCTCACACAGGAGTCTTAAAATTGACAGCCATCCCAGTAACTTAGGTGGCTCTCCTGTGCCCAAGATAGTTTTGTATAAGAATGGGAATAAAGAGAGGGCATCATTTTCTGGGTCTCATTACCATTTTTGGGTCTGGGGTTGCTCAATAATTTTCCCAAAAATAGTAATTTCTTCTTTGCTTTATGCCATTTTGGCTTATGAAAGGTTTAATGGTAACTTTTTTTTTAAAAGATTTTATTTATTTATTTGACAGAGAGAGACACAGTGAGAGAGGGAACACAAGCAGGGGGAGAGGGAGAGAGAGGAGCAGGCTTCCCACGGAGAAGGGAGCCCGATGTGGGGCTCGATCCCAGGACCCTGGGATCATGACCTGAGCGGAAGGCAGACTCTTAAGGACTGAGCCACCCAGGTGCCCCTAATGGTAACTTTTAGATAGTGGGTGATATCTGTATTGAAAAGTTTTCACTATAACATGATATGGAGTAAAAGGAAGAAAGCAGTTTAACAGTCAAGTGAAGGAGGCTGAGAATACCTGGATATGTATTTTATGAAAAAGCAAATGTTTAAAGAAATTGTCATCCAATATTTGTTTATTGAGCCAGCAGTTAAAAAATAACTGGATACAACCTGCTAATATTACAGTGCACTACCTTTTAGTTTGTGGTTTGGCACAACCATTATTATAGTAAAAGGTATTTTGACACTAGGTTGTATGTGCAAGTACAGTGAAATGCTATACATACAGATGAGTAATCAGAATGCTACTAGAAAAGAAATGAGAAAGACTAGGTCTTGAAATAGAAGAACTTTCCCTCTTTCTACAGGATATGGGAAGCAAGTACCAGCTATTTTGGTCTCAGCCTTCCCAGCTCCCACCTGCTTGTACGCACTACACTTTAACTTCTTTTTTTGTGGCTTAACCTCAAAATAGGTTCCAATTTATGGGCTTGGCACCAAAACCTGGCCTTTACTGCCCACTTGCTCATACTTACTTACCTTTGTCTTACATTCTTCCCGAAGCTCTTCTTTCCAGCTTTCTTTTTGATTCAGGCAAAGGAAACCCAACACTGCTCCCCAGGGGATGGGGACTGCCCAGACAAGACCTCCTGCCATCCCACCTTCCCAGACCATTCAGACTATTTAAGCTAAATCTGACTTGTGCCTACACAGATGGACCATGGAGTGACCTCTAGAATGACCTACAATGATCTTTACCTCATTATAATACTAAAATCTCCACCCAAGGAGGAGCCTCAGCCTCCTCTGCATAACACATAATGTATACATAGGCATGTTTCCTTAGGTTATGCATGACCTTATGCCTGCCTGTACATAGGATGACAAGGCTCCCCTATCTAAATATTCCTTCTAACCCTAAACAAAAGGAATTCAGCCGCTCTCAGGGAGTCATGGCTTTGGCAGCCATTCCCCACGATCTCATTTGCTGTAAATAAGTTTTCTTTGTCAACCTGTGCAGTTTCTGATTCACCAAAGAGAGAACTCATGTTGGTTCCGTTAATACACTGACACCGGACACCTCTGCAAATTCCCATTCTCTCCTATTACACTCACATAGCTATGGGTGAAAAGGCACTACTTCAGCACAATTAGAAAAAAAAATGCTGTTTTATCTGTTAGCATATTAGTCATAGTACTGAAAATGCATAAATGCCCTCTTTTGGGGCCACCTTCCTTGATTTTCACTAGTTGCCAACCTCTTTTCCCTCCTCCAAATCCCTAAGGTGCTTTGGACCTCTTTTGATAGTGTGTATTCTTAAAACTTTTAAAAACATTGTATCTCCTCAACTTGTTGGTAAATTCTGAGAACTAGCAAATAACTACATGCTTGGCAAAAAGGAAAGGCATGAGATAGTATCATCCGTAAAGACACACTTTGTTTGAACTTAAGAAAACCATGAGAGACTATGGACTCTGAGAAACAAACTGAGGGTTCTAGAGGGGAAGGGGGTAGGGGGATGGGGGGAAAAAAAGATACATACCAGCAGGGAATCTACACAAAAAACGTTAAAGGCCAAACCTCTTAGCCACAGCTGCCAACCTTGTAACGCCACAGTCCCATACACCAATACACAGAACTTGTGCAGTACCATATAACCACATACAAATTTATAGCATAAATACATCTAGTTACCCCCACTTTACAAACTAATTCTCCCAAATTACCATTTAATCAAGTGAATTTCCTGCTCAACAGTGTAATGGCTGCTCATTTCATATTAAATTGGAATTAAATACTTTCAATATTTGGACTTCTTCCCATCGGTCCAAACTTGGTTCCCAATTCTTCCCTACTATCCACATCTCCATACCCTAAAACTTGCTTCTCATCTCCCCTTCTTAGCACTTTGTTCCTCCCACCAGCCTATTCCCTTATTTACTAAGATCTACCTTCTGTTCCTCCTTTTTGACAAAACGATCCCAATCCTAGTGGAAAATGGCATTCCTTTCCAGCTGTCTTCCGAAGAGAGTCCTGTTGGCTCCGTACGATAGCTATTGGCACAGAATTCTAAGCCTGCTAAGCTTTATAAAAATCGTATCACATGCAGGGCATATGTTGAGTATTCGTTAAAAAAAATTAAAAAAAAAAAAAAAGACAAATACTTTCTGCGTTCAATAACGCAGAAAAGATGTTCAAGAAGTAACAGCTTTTGGTACCTTCCTCTCCCCTTCTCTTTCAAAATTCCCCAACCTGGCTTTCTTCTCCCTCCACTCTTCCCACGTATAGAGGGAGCCTGAAAAATAAGTGGGAGTCTATAAGCTTCGCTGGACCAGCCAGTCCTTAACGCCCTTAACGCGAAGCAGGTCCATTCATCCCGGGTTCGCTGACGACCCAAGGGAGGGCCTGCACAGGCCCGGCATAGCGCGGGAGCATAGGGGGCGCTGGGCGACCGGGCAGGACTTCCGGAATCAGGCGTGCCCGCTGGAGAACTTAAAGGGGCGCCAGGAGAGGAGGAGACGCGGGCGCCGGTAAAGCGGCCGGGAAAAGGGACGAGGACCCGAGACGAGTGAACGCCCGCGGCGGAACGAAAGGGAAACCCCGGCAAAAGGAAGAGAGTCCAGGGGGAGCGGAAGAAGGGAGCGAAAAGCGGAAGAAGGTCTGGGGGGGAGCGGAAGGGGATGCTGCCCGCCTTGAGGTCTGCGGGACCGAGTGGCCGTAGGGACTGTACTTGAAGTGTCATATGAGAGAGGACTCTAGTTTGTCGCTGTATAATAGACTTTAGTGTTTCTCCACACGAATTCCAAGCGGAGACCTGCCCGGGCTCAGCGGCGCATTCCGTGTGAGGCCATCGCGGAGGCCCACTGCCCTCTGCTGGGTGGGGGGACGCAGTGCCGAGCGCCGCGAAGCAGTGCCGAGCGCCGCGGGCGGACTTTGCGAGGTGAATGAAGGCGGCGGGAAAAGAGTAAAACTTTTATAAGGAATGTGGCGAACCGCCGGGATTACTAGGTTTTTAGAATACGGAAGCATGACTTCAACGCACTAATTTAAATTCTAAATACTTTGCAGGCCCTGTGCTGGGTAGGTGGGGTTTCCTAGGACTTCTGAATTTGTCCTTCTCACTATTACTTTGCTTAATTAAAACTTATATTATTTGTTTCGTGCAATCGACTTTACAACAACAACAAAATGTCCAAATCATTTTTGGTATGGGTTCTTTACGTCCTGAAATTCTTTTGAGCCTCGATAATCCTCTTAATGCCACACACACACACACACACACACACACACACACACACGTCACAAATATAGGGGTTTAAAACCACAGATTACTTAAATTACTTGTTGAAAGGGCTGATAAGTTCCTTGAGGAAAACAATCTATATCGACCCCATTCCCCCCTCCTTTCCTTTCCCCACTTTTGAGAACCTCCTGTTTATCAGCTGTTGCTTTAGGTGCTGTAGGTATAGAGATAAACTGGACATTGGCAAGTATAACAGAAGATCCCTTCTGTGAAGACCTAGCACTCTATTGGAGGAAGCAACAGGGAAAGATGTAATTATGAAATCGCCTGGGAGTGGGAGGAGTAGTAAATCAGATGCTCCTTTCCTGACCTGATTGAGGCAATTTTATTGCCTGACCTGAAAGAGAAGTAGATGATAGTCGGTTCCATTCCGGGAAGAGAAACCAGCTGCAGAGAGCCGTGGAGTTGAAACCGGGTGAGTGAAAGGAGTAGGAAATAGGGTAGGTGGAGAGTTGGTTTGTGGACAGAGTCTTAAGCCTCCTAAGGCATTATGAATTCTTAATACTTCTAGCCAGATTGTTACTGATTTATATTATTTGTCAGGCAGTCTTCTAGGCATTGTAAAAGCTTTCTTACTTTCCAAAATGCAGTGGGGATGTTCTGTTTAAAAAATTATTACGTGAGGCTTAAAAATACTGTGCAAGCAGACAGTATTTTATGCAGTCTAAGGTATTAAAGGAGATGATGTGGAGTTACTCTGAGGAAGAGATAAGTGTAATAGGTGAGGGAGCACATATGTAGAAGTGTTTAATGAAGAGCAAAAACCTGAAGGATTTGAGAAACTAAAAAGTTCATTTTGGCTATATGAGGAAGAGGGGTGTGTATGGTGGCAAGTAAATGAAGCTTGAAAGGTAGGTTATATAATGACAGGCTAAAACGAAATTAAAACTTGAAAAACAAGTCATGTAGTGACAGCCTAAAATATTTCTGACTTTTTTGTTGTTTTCCACCTGCCTCAGGCTGATTGTTTTCTTATTAAGTATGCATCTGTGTTAATTTTCTGGATTTCGTAATTCTGGCACATGCGTTATGTATGGCTTTTAAAAGAAAAGCTAGCTTATTCCCTGTGCAAGGAGGGGAACTGTTTGAAAACCTTTGCAGAATTTTAACAAAAATGGGAGAGAGTAACACATGTGATCTCAGATGTCCATAGGGCTCTCTTCTCTTTCCCTTTTCCAGTGGCTTGGCTAAGAGCTCCTTCAGCTGATGTGAGTGTGGCAGGACAGCAAAGCATCCTGCGTGACAAATTTTAAACATATGTTTTGTCCTGAAGAAAGTTTATAAAATTGTAAATTCCTCAGAACTTTTTCATTGCCTTGTCATTCTGGAACAATCCAAAATGCTGATTGTTTAACCTCATGCTTACAGAGAACCTGAATCTCAGCCCCGTTTGTTCATATGTACTTTCAGATACTATAGTAGTTTATTAGTGGCTAATACTTTGTCATCTCCTTAGCACTGAACTCTTGTCTAATTTGATCTTTGAATTTAGAATTGGGATGAAAGTATACATAATAGGTGATTACCAAATTTCTAGAATTGGATTTCTCAACTTGAGGTCAGCAAACCTAGGAGGCTTAAGCAGTGCCCTCGAGTTTTTGTGGTACTCTTCTGTGGCACAGACAAGGGAACGTGAAGAGAGGAGAGAAAAGAAGGCAGAGTTAGTAGTGGAAGGGGGATAGGAATGGGAAAGGAGAGAAAAAATGGAATTAATATAAGGATACGTGAAGTATTTGTTATAAGATTTACTTAGAAAAATCAGCATATCAAAGATGTCTAATGAGGCAAAAATATTAGTTATATGTATATTTCATTTTGTAATGATTTAAAGATACGCAGATAATAGATCTGATGGCATCGATACTAATTGCCCTTGTGTTGTTGGATATTAGAGAGGTAATACATGAGGACAGAATAGTCTCCTTACAAGAGAGAAGATATAATAATGATTGAAATAATAATGATTAAAAATGCTAATGATTTTGAAAGCCTTATTCCTTATTTTCTAGTTTAGCTTTTTCTTTTCCCTAAACAGAATATTGTGGAAAACAGGCAAATTTAATTTTTAAAAATAGCCATCAAAGTCCTTATCAGGTTTTTTTTGGCACTTTTTTTTAATGTTGAAGTCATGGTAAATATGGAAAAGATCAGGACCTCAGTTGAATTTTCCATTGAGTTTCTATTCTATATCTGACATCTCCAGGGGCACAACATGCATAGAGAATATCCAGGCAAAAGCTTGGCTGTATTGCCTTTGGCTCTGACTGTATATACACCTTTCAGTTTTGTGAACTGACCTGGTAAGTGATCTTGAGAGCGCATTTTCCCTAGACTAGCAGCAGGCCTAAGGAACCCTGAGCCCTGCTCTATTTGGTCTTCAAATGGGACAGGATAAAGGCAGCCCCAGGTTGCTTTTACCACATAAGCCTCTTAGAGAGACAGACACACAGAAAGAAGGGAGAACAGAACTAAGAAAATCCAAATAGCAGCAGTTCCAGGGCAGATAGTTTCACTTTGTTGTCTAGTACACAAAGCTACACACTGAATTACTTGTTTTTGGCTCAAAACCAGTATCTTCCTTTGGAAGGTGAAGAAGAGAAGGTGAGGCAAAGAAGGTCAAATCTCAGGTTTCCTCTTTAAGTTTGCCACTAACAGTTACTAGGTATTAACCTCAGTATCTATCACTGGGTAAATTGCCTCTCATCCAGAGAAAGAGAATATAACAGGCTAGACCTGACCTAAGATTCCTCTTGTGAGAGAAATCTTATATGAAAGAACAAAGAATATTACTAAGCAGATCCTTGTAAAATATGTATTGCCAGCTACACATATTATAGATAGGTAGAGTGATGTCTTACTATTTATTACTTCATTTCTTAAAAAGTATTAATATTTTTATTAATGAAACAGTAGAGATTGTGTTGTATGCAAATCCATTTTGTAAACATGAAAAGAAAATCATACCCTTGCACATTTGTAGCTACATATCCTGGACTTGCATTTCATTGAAACCCAACAGTGAAATAATTTTTCCTATTTTGCAAATAGAGATCTTACATTTAGTTGAGAAAATGATGGGTAGGTACTGTAGTCCCTACACAGTAATAGCCACATTAGGGGTCATTTAGTTCCACAAATATTAAATGTGAAACTGTGTGCTAAAGGCTGTGAATAAGATGCAGTCCTGCCCTTAAGAATTTTTTAATATACTGGAGGCAGGAGCTTCATGTCTAATTCTCTATTATCTAGTTTCTGGTTCTACATTGATTTTTAAGAAATATCACTACCTTTAATAAGGACTTTTTAACAGTTGTCAGACCTGCCAGACTATGTTGCCACTGTGTTCTTTGTTTAGTATCTTTATGGCTGTGTGTTTTTTATTTAATATCTTCTATGTAAAGAAATAGAGTATTTAAGAAATTAGTTTTGAAATTGGTCATTTAGAAGATTGAGAGAGATTACTGGTAGAGGCAGAGACAGCCCCCAAAGTTTGGAACTATACTTCAGTTAAAAAAAAAGTTCATTGAGAAATATACCATACGTACATATAGTGAAAAATGCATAAGAAGAATTTAAAGAACAACAACAGAAAATACCTGTGTATCCCTTACCTAGGTTAAGAAAAAACACACCCACATTCTGAAACCTAACTTTTTTAGTATGTGTTAGGTGACTCAGGCAATAGCTTTCTTCATTTTTAGTATCTTAATTTATTTTCATTCTGGCCAACTGTAATACAACCTGAATTTCAAATCAGGAAATAAAAAAGTATTATTATACTTTATGGAAGTAGCATATGAACAATAGTGTATAATTATAACCATCTCATAAATATTTTGATTTAATCAGATAGCCTATGTACAAAAATGTTCTTGTCCGTTCAGAAAGCTCATGATTCTAGCTATGGAGTTACATGAAATAATGTCTAAAGTTTTAAAGGTTTTTATAAATTGATAATTTACTTAAAAATAAATATGTATTTATTTGGAGAAAAAGAGTGAAAACTTTGAGAGCATTTCTATTGTTTTAAAATTTGACAAAAGGTAACCTTTAATTGTAAAAAGGAAATGTGGACCTTATTTTTTTTCCTAGATTTGTTTCATGGAGGGGATTGGAACTATACAATTTTCATGCTAATAGATGAGCAGTAGCATAATCTTTTGGAGAAATGATACTCTGAAAATATATGAGAGTATTTTAAGGGCGGCTCCCTCTGCCAGTATTTTGGCCATAAGGCACTACAAAGAAAAGCAAACCTGAGTTTATGTTTTCTTTTGGTTACTCTCCCGGAGATCTGGAGTATTGC